GGAAACAGGTTTTAAGCAGGAATGAAACATGACCAGATTTGTATTTTAGAAATTTCGAGCTGGGCATGGTGGCGCACGTCTTTAGTCCCAGCACTTGGGAGGCAGAGGCAGGCAGATCTCTGTGAGTTCAAGGCCAGCCTGGTCTACATAGTGAGTTACAGGCCAGCTGGGGCTATGGAAAGACCCTGTCTCAAAATAATAGTATTGAAATAATAATAGAAATATCATTATGAGAAGGGAATGGAAACTGACAAAAAGATACCATGTTTCCTCTAATATCTGGAATTCAGTACCCACAGAAAGTGAACAGGACAAGCAGGGGAGGCGAGGCAGGACATGAAAGTATTATAGGTAGTAAATATGGTCAAAGTACATGATTTACTTGAACAAATTTTGTTCAGAGAATCATTTTGTACAATGAATATATACTAAAAAATTTAAATACCGTTATGACTTCTGAATTGAAGAGGGCAAGATCAGAAGCAAGAAAACATGAAGTTAGTGCAATAATCCAAAGGAAATGGTGAGGGTTTCACCTAATATCTCTAAAGTTCACAGTTTTTCAATAAAACTGGTAACAGCTACCTGTAGAGTTATAATAGGATTGGCATTAAGAAAAGATGTTAAGAATGTGTATCACAGAGTACACATAGCCAATAAATGTCAGCTGTGGTGATGATTATTGGTCTTGCATCTTAATGGATTGACAACCCTTAAGAATGAACATATGGGAAGGAAAACAATTGACATTAATATTTACAGAATGAACGAATCATTGATATAGTTTACTATTCCACCTATTAAAGCTTCAGAAGGCCAAGAGAGATGTCCGCTGCATCTTCTACAACAACCCCGGTTCTTCACATGCATACTGTGATCTCAAAAGAGATGGTCCCTTCTCAAAACGCTCCCTTAGCCCTAAGGACGTTGTCATTAACTCTATTGTCATAATCAGAACTTGACTAAAGATTGATGCACATGAAAAAAAAAATACTTGAGCTAATCAGCTTTTTCTTCCAGAGAACTTGAAGAATAAAAGTGAGAAATGTTACTTGGTTTAAATTCATATCTGACCTGATATGGCCGAAAAGACTTTTCTGCTGTGTGCTCAGATAAGCAGTAAAGACCAGTAACAGGAAGCAGCCTGTAAGATGTGAGCAGAGGAGAGCGTGGGAGGCAGCTCAGAGTCTGAAGGGAGGTGCAGCTGTACTTCCTAGCCTTAGATACAGTAGACAGGTTCTTTCACCCATCAAGTAAATTGTGTCTGTGTCTTAGCATACTTTAGGTAGATCTTCGTCTTCTGTAACTATGGTCAGAAATCTGTTTTTATATTTATCATGAATTTTTATTCTAAAATTCCTCTATCTCATATAGTCCTTACTCCATGTTTACAAAATATATGGCATCATTTTCCGACTCAGCAAAATGTAGGAGGAAAAAGATTGTTTCCTTGCTTTTTAATTTTGAAAGTCAAGAGCCTTTAAGAAAATGAAAACCACTCTGGCAAAAACGGAAGCTGGAAGCTCTAAATGATTATACGAAACAGCGATTTCTATAGTTGGGTTAAATTTGATTGCAAGTAGCAGAAGAATTTATGATCGTCTTAAGCAACAGAAGTGTATTGATTTTTGTGGGAAAAGTTCAGAGGTAGACTCTACAGATCAGAGGAAATTGATTCACAGTGTCCTCAGATATCAAACTGATTCTTTTTCTTACATCATTTTCTATGTTGTTCCCTCAAGGCAGCAAGATGGCTGCTGTGTCTGCGGGCATCATGATTATGCTCATTGGGGGCTGAAGAGACATCTCAGTGGATAAGAGCACTGGCTGCTCTTACAGAGGACCCTGAGTTCAGTTCCCACCATCCACATGGCAGCTAACAACGATCTGTAATTTCAGTCCCCAGGTATCTGATGCCCTCTTCTGACTCCTGCAGGCATTGTATGACATGGGTGCACTTACATACATGCAGGCAATTTATGCATACACATAAAATAAATAAATTAAAAATTAAAAAATCATACGCATCCAGAGGACCCTTTTAAATGGCATCCTTATTAAATGACCCCTTTCCCTAAGTATGATTTGATTGCAAACATCTTTGTTCATGATTCTCAGATTGAAATTGTTTCTTAGCTATATCTAATATAAAGTCACACACTAAAATATAGAGTAATTCCACTTGAATAAACAGCTTTCTAATGAGTTAATCCCTCCATAGGAAATTTGGCCCAGGAAGCTTGTGGATTTTTACATATCAGAGAGTTTGCTGGCCTTTCAGTATCTCAATTCACAGAAGTGGTCCTTATCTAACACAGTTTTGGATCAAGAGTCAGGCATGGTGATGTACAGCTTTAATATCAGCACTCCAGAGGCAGAGACAAGGTGATCTCAGAATTTGAGGCCAGCATGGCCTGCATAGTAAGTTCCAGACCAGCCACAGTACATAGTAAGAAGCTGTCTCAAGGAAGTGGTTCTGCAACTGGATATGGTGGTGCACCTTTAATCCCAGCACTTGGGAGGCAGAGGGGCAGAACTCTGTGAGTTCAAGGCCATCCTGGTCTACATGGTGAGTTTCAGGCCAGCTGGGGCTACAGGGAGACCCTATCTCAAAAGAAAAGAAAAAGAAAGAAAGAGAAAGAAAAAAAAGATTCTGCCTAAAAAATGTTCAAGGAGCCTTCATTATTCTAAGTAATTTAATAACTGATATTTTAACCTATTAAGAACACAAAAATCTTTTTAGATACCTTATGTTTCTGTCAATTACTGAAAGTCATGAGCTCATTGTAATATCAATACCGTATTTAATCTCTTGCAAATTTCTAATCATGTACAAAATTTGCTGTTTTATTTAACCAAGCCTATATTTTGTACGAGAACTTGCTGGCAATGTGTTAATGGATTTGACATTTCTAATAGATGTCATTTACTGTTATAACAGATTCAACAACATTTGCTGATGAAACGCACTGAAATAATTTTTAAGTGATTGTATTTTCATCAAATGCTTTTCTAAGTGTGGATCTGCCACTTTTCCAAGGTCTGATGTCATACTTTCTCGTTTCATAGCTGATGGCACTGGAGGAAGAGCGCAACAGAAATGGAGCATGTGCTCATTGTTTGTGATCCTGGATGGCTAACTGCAAGTTAACCAAACCCAGAAACTACAAGAGGGAAGGTAATTTTGGGGGATCTTAGAGTGGCAAGTCACAGGTTCATAGAGCTCTGAATCGGTGTCCCAACATAGGTAGGAAAAGTGGGGACTTATATACACGGTTGAAGGTTGAGAAGGATCAAGTTGAGGAGGAACATGGACTGTACAACCAAAATCAATAAGAAACAAAGAAAAGAATGTATAAACAGAATGGAAACATCCAGCTTCTTAGTGTGCATCAACGTGCACAACACAGTCACAGTAAATCAATAAGAAACAAAGAAAAGAATGTATAAACAGAATGGAAACATCCAACTTAGTGTGCATCAACGTGCACAACACAGTCACAATGAACCATTATTTTGTGCACTGAAGCTATGCTAATAAAAAATAAACTTAAAAGATAGGAATGGTGGCCCAGGCCTGTAAGACCAACACTCAGTATGTACATGTATGAACTGCCAAAGAACAAAAATATTAAAAAACAACACAAAGGATATGAATACTGTTTATCTATATGAAATGAAATGCCGCAAAGAATAAGCTAGGAAGGGGCATCTTGAAGAAGACAACTATGTGGGGAAAACATAGTGGTGAGAAAACTCAAGGAGCATTCAAAGAATGAGTAGGCCAAACTGTTGTAGTGTAAGGAGTCTGCGAAGGAATAACGGGGAGTAAATCCAAATGACAGGTTGAGGTCACACTGCGGCGGCTTTGAATGGCAGACTGAGGATTCTGTATTTAAGCAATGTGGAACCGCTAGTGAAGGAGTGACATAATGAGATCTGCACCGCAAGTAAGATGGATCTGGCAGTGAAACAGGCCTGACAGAAGTAGAAAACATTTGGCGGGCACGAGACTTTGCGGATTCCACCCCAAGTTTGGGTTTTGAAGCGATGAACATAGTGGGGTAATGAAAACAGAAAGGATGGCATTAGCCTAAAAGATGTTGAGACCACATGGAAAGAACACCATTCCTTCAACAACCATCCAAGAAGTACCATCACATCCCAGACACACAGTAGGCAGAGGGGACACGTCAGTGACAGTGCAAAGCGCTTGCCCTCATGGAGCCTCTATTCTGGTTGAGGGGAATAAATGGGTAAACCAAGAAAGTCAAAGGTCCTTGAGGAAATCTAAAATCTTGGATACTAGATGTCTAAAACTTCAGAGAATGTAGATCTAGAGTTCATTAATGGGGATTGGGAAATAAAACCACTAAAGCTAGACATATTTTCTAAGAGATCAGCTGGTCACAGAGTAATGTCTCCTCTGTGGATCATTACAATCTAGTTGTTCAGTTGAAAAAAATACATGTTATCCAGCTGTCCTTGGGACAGCTAACACATGTCAAAACCACAGACCTATATAAAATCAGATATTTACATGGAAAATGAGAAACAATTATAAATGCCAGTGACAGAGCTGCCATTGTTAATATCTGTATGAAACTTTATGTGGCAATCTAGGGGTGATCATATTTATTGCTGCTTGCTGGTCACACAATGGGAGCTAGGAAATGAGGTGGGGTAATCTTGAAGCCTAGACTATTAAGTGTTTAAAAACAGTTTATTCCAACACATAGTGAGGATTCAGATGCATTGGTTTAAATAAAGAATGCACACTTTTCAATAGTTCTGTAAGTTTCCAATGAGAAAAGATGTAACCACTTAAATGGATATGATAATGCATGCAGTTCAGAATGAAGATTTGAAAAGAAGGAAAAGGAAATATTTTAAATATTTTTCTTTTGGGCTGGAGAGATGGCTCAATGCTTAAGAGCACTGTCTGCTCTTGCAGAGGACCCGGGTTCAGGTCCCAGCACCCACATGGCAGCTACCAACCTTCTATAACTCCAGTTCCAGGGGATCTGAAGCCTTCTTCTGACCTGCATGGGCACTTACACACATGCAGACAATACCCTCATACACATAAAAATAAATAAAATAAATTTTAAATATTTTTCTTTTGAATTCTAGGGCTATTTTCAATAAATTAGGTGAACTTTTTAAAAATTAAAATATGCTGGGCATGGTGGTGCACACTGGTAATTCCAGCTGTCTGTGGGCCAAGGCAAGCAAATCTATGTGAGTACCAGGCCAATGTGGTCTACATAGTGAGTTCAGATCAAGCCCTATCTTTAAAAATGAAATTAATTCTCACCTCCCTCTTCTTCCCTGGGCCTGCATGATCCACAGGCCTCTCTCCAGGGTAAATTGATCAAGCCCTCCATGCCTTGACTCCCTCAGCCTCATTCACCCTCCCATCTCCCCCACCTGTCTCTCCTCCTAGCCTGGATCCTGTCCCATTCCTTGTCTTGGCATCCCAGACACCTGGGGAATCACCACTGCTGCCTGATCCTTTGCATCCAGACCAACCCAGTTCCTTCTCAGGTCCCCAGGACCACTCTGGGCCTGGCCCCAGCCTCACCTCCCTCTGCTTCCCTGGGCCTGCACGACTGGCCAGCCTCTTTCCTGGACACCGAGGCTGACCTTTCCTCTTCCTGATCCTTTGCATCCAGACCAACCCAGGTCCTCAAGTGCAGTCCCCAGGAGCCCTTGGGGCCTGTTCCTGCCCCCATCTCCCTTTGCATCTCTGGGTGGCATGGCCACCAGCTGCCCGAGACCAGCATCTTTCCTGGGCCCAGCTCCCACTCCAGTCCATCCCCCAAATTCCTGAGGCCAAAATATTTCCTGGAGGGATCCAGACCTTAGGAGAAAGCCTGAGAGCATCTGATCCTCATCTGACTTGGGCCTCTGTGGGAACTCCTGAAGACAAAAACAATCTGGCCACTCCAATATAAAATCAAAAGAGAGAACTGGAAGCTTACAGGAACCAGCTTTTCATGCCCAAGAAGTAAACCACAAAGACACATAAAATTCACAAAAAGAAGCAGAACTAAACTTGAAGGCTCGAGTATCACACAAGAGTCAGAAACTACAAAAGAAATTCACATGTCAAAATCACAGAGAAAAAATAATAACATGAAAAACCAAAATAG